GAGTGATGTGCTACCAAACCCTCAAGGAAGCCTGAGATCCAGCCTCTCCTGGGGACTGCACTGTTGCTTTAAGAATGTGCCCCGACTCTCTTAAGACATTTCTTTCAGAACTTTTGCTGTGTTTCTTAGCTATAAAGGATGCTAAACATCCTTTATAGGGCAGGAACAAGAATGCATGCGATCGCTGAAACTAAAGATCTTTAAAATTTGGATAATATAGCCTCGTATTAAGAACAATAGATACCCTGGGGTTCCGAACATGAGCAAAACTGTTGTTCCTCTCTTCATGCATAATACTGACATTCTCCTAAAAGCCAAGCCAACCTGCATTTATATAAAGTAAGCACCAGGCAAAATCATCCCAGGTTGTTAGAGTTCAAAATAATTAGCTTGGAGGGTGGGGTGGGGGTGGTTACGAAATGACTAGAAGGAACATGGGAGGGCAGTGTCTTTGGGAACTTGATATTCTGTTTCTTGGTTACCCCCATGTATTCAGTTCATGAAAATCATTGTGCTGATCATTTATAATATATGCATGCTTCTTTATGATGTTATTATATTTCAGCAAAAAGAAAAAAACCAAAACCAAACATGAAACAAGTCAGCCCTGAGACAACAGACCGGGAGGGAGGAGGGGACCATGGTGGCAGGCAAAAAGGCAGAGTTAGATGTATTTTTTACAACCACTGTCTCATGCTCCTTAGATTTTTTTCAGATACTTTTAAGGCTGGATCTCATTTTCATTTTCTAATAGCAGTCACTTGTCCTGGAAATACTTGAGTTTGATGCAACTTGTTTATTGGTCTGGCTACTCTGATCTCATCTACGTCTTGGAATGAACATACCTTATGGACTTGAGGTGTACAGAAGACCCTACGCCCAGTTCTTCGGTCCTGTTTGCAGTGCCGGTGTGTAATAGTCATATCTAATTGCTAAGACCTGGCCCCTCTATCAATAGCTGCCTTTACATTACTTGACACTGTGTTGGAGGCTCCAACAAGGCAGAGCATGTTTGTAGGTTGGGTGATTTTAAAGGATTATCATCTGACGTTGTGGAGGGAGTTAGCTCAACTAGCAGCTCAGTTTCTATATGTTCTCGTTCTTGTGGCCTGGGAACAAAGGGTTTTGAGCCGGGAGAATCTGTGCAACATTGCGAAGCAGCTGACTATTAACCTCTGCTCTATCTGCTATTGTCTTCTTGCCTCCTTCCATCTTCTCAGATATCCATCTTGCCCTTAGCTATCAGGAGGAACTTTCACAAGAACATCTTGTGCTTTCAAGGGGAAATTCAGGACTGAAAAACTAAAGTGAGGTGTTGCTTTTGGTTTGCCTTTACAATTATTAGGGGATTTGCACATGATATACTCATTGCCCATTTTATCCTGATCTCCACTGTGGGAAGTAAAAGGTATGCATTTTGACAGATAAAGAAGCTGGAATTTATAGAGAGAGAGAGAAAATATGTTGTAGATGGAATGCCTAAAGTGAGACTCCAAGATCTTTTCAATGCCTGTTCAGTACTTTTTCCAATATTTTGTGATCAAGAATAAAATGATAATGTTGAAATTTCAGATAATAGAAAAGTTATTTTGGACAAGAAACGTATCCCTTTAAGTCATATCATTGGATCCAGCACTACATTAGAGAGAAATCTTTGGCTTTGTATATAGCTGGGCATAAGCTTGCACCATGAAAACATGGTTGAGTCATGCAACTTTTTAAAGCCCTAGTTCCCGCATGTTTAAAATGTGGCCAGCACTTCCCTGGCATGATTGTAAAAAGATCAGTGGTAATAAATCATAGCTGTTACTAGAGTTATGCCCAGAATAGCTGATTCTTCTCTCTTTACTGTCAATGAGTTAAATGTTCCAGATGATTTGGGGAAAAAGGTAACCGTGAAAAGGCGGCAGCAAGGGGCCTGGAAGAGCTTCCATATGTGTGGATGAGAAGAGACTTTACTGCATCCAGCCACAAAAAGGTTAAACATATTGCTCCCAAAGTCCCCAGGTCTTATTTCACACTACAGTGTTGTCATAGCCTCTGCCTACTAGAGCAGGACATCCTTGTAAACGAGAAATTAAAATATTTATGGAGTGTCCATGCGCTAGGCACTGTTAAATGAATGAGGCAATGAAAAGTTATGCCTATCCACTTCGTAGACAGGCTCTTTCCTCCAGAACAAATCACAGAGATGATTGAAACAGCAAGTTATTCCTGGGATGGAAAATGTGAATTGTGTTGGGTTTCTGTGACGAAGATGATGTGAATGGTGTCCAATGCCCTCTTCTGCAGAGGTCACGCAGTCTCAGGCCCAGTGAGGTGACCTCTTGGAAAAGATATTTTTTAAAATGTCCTCCATATTGGTATTTCCCAAAATCATTGCAGAAGAGAAACCTTAGAACCCAGGGGCTGAGCTTTTGGATATGTTTTTAAAAGCACACTCTAGCCCTTCATGGATGTAGGTGTCTGGGTAGGTAACCCAACCTTCCAAACCTCATCTGAAAAACGGGGACAATGGCAGTGCCTCCTCAGAGCACTCTTGTGAGGGTCGTGTGAACTCAGGTATGCGGAGCACGTGGCACAGGGCCTGGCACAGAGCGAAGGCTCAGTTAGTGCTGACTCTTGTTCTTGCAGCAACACCTCCCAGTACCAGTTTGCTTGGGAATCGGGAATCGGGTTTTGGGTTTGGAATCCACTGGAGACTAATGCAGCAGCGCCACCTGCTGACCGCTTTATCACAGTAGTAACCTGTCCCTTCCTCAGGGCAGGAGAAAGGCCCTGGGAGGGAAGGTGCACCCTGGGTCTGAGGATTTAAATAAAAAGACAGCTTTCTGATATATGGACTTTTTCATCCACACTGTAAATGAAACTCTTCTGCAGAAAATTTAGAAATAATGAAATCCTCTGAGATTAAGTTTGAGCTATACTACTTTTTACTAACTTTGGAGAGCAGCCTCCCTTTAAAAGAGCATTATTAAATATGAATTTTATTGGTACTATTGAGAATTGACAAAGCACTGAGTTCTTTTGGGAGAAAAAGATGATAAAACACTAAAATAATACACAGATATGAGGTCAAGAAATCATGGTTATTTTTTATACAAGGGAGGCCGTGATTCTTCATTCTCTAGTCTTCTTTCTCTTATCTTTATATCTTAAAACAAAGGATTTTTATTTTACTTTTTTACCAAAAGCCTATGGATGCATTTCAGGAAATTCCCAAATGCCCTGCAAGAATTTTGTGCATATGGGTGGTGGTGGTATTCTCTTATTAAAAGTCTTTAATTCCTGAAAAACAAATGAACGTAAAAGAACCATTTGGGAAAAAAAACAAACAAAAAAAAACCCTGATGGAATGTGGGTGAAATTAAATTCAAGATCTTTATTTCAGTCTTATTTTCTTACATTCTCCAATAATTCCATTCTTCCAGCTTTCTCTTCCAACTTCCTCTTCTGCCAAGAAGTGCAAGGTGAACAGACACTCATATAGGGAAAAGGGGCATACACAACACACAACACGCTCTTAGAACCCGGACACTGGTTGGGTCGCTCTCCCTACTCTCTCTGGGGTGCTTATATTCTAAAGCATGACGCTGTCACATGGGAAATCACCTCGATGCCGTGGTAGCCTCCAAGTACAAGTTGTACTCGAGGTCACAGAACAGAAAGGTTCAGAGGCCAATTAAACACAGGGTAAGGCAAAAGTAGGTTTACAATTGTGAGTACACGAAACACAGAATTCACTCTTGTATTATTAATTATTGCATTATTTTCCATATGAACAACTGTAAATCTACTTTTACCCGACACTGTATGCTGAAAGCACAGGGCTCGTTACATGGGTTTCCAGCCCACAGCACGCAGCAAGGGGAGGTCCACGGAGCAGGTTCACTCACTGAAGGCAGGGTGCAAGAGGGCTGGAAGGACCGCACTAGCTGAATGTTCTGTAGTGTTCCTTTCTCCTGCTTCTCCCTCTGCCTCGTCAACCTTTCCCTCGCTTGGTGTGTGACAAGGACCCGAGGGAGCTTGGTTTGAGCAAGGCAGACAAGAGAAGGAAGGAGCCAATGAAACATGCTTGCTGCCTCTGAGGGAGGGGAAGGAAGTAACTGCAGTTCACCAGTTACCCTGATGAGCTCTGCAAGGGTTACAAAGGATGGCCGAATGAAGGCCTCAGACACATTTCTCATGTATATTTAGTGTATCCAGGCTACACGGTACTTTGTATATATTTAGTGCACCATAAACATAAAGCGTTTTCTTGGTCTTTCTCTTTTTTCACATATACTCTATTTTTTATCTTTCTTAAACATGACTTACTTTGTTGCGTTGAACACATCATATTAATTTTTTTCATCTCACTTGTTTTCCTGTCTTCTAGAGTAGAATTGGATATTCTTAAACAACACAGCAAGTGCATATTATAGCACAGAATATTTGGGGCCCTTGAATATGAGCTTTGAATTAGTTTGGACTATTCTGGACCAGAGAAATATAGTTTCTGGTTACTTGCTTAGCATAGCCATCCACAGCTTGAAAAATGGACGCTTAGGATTTGGGTTGACCTGGTATTTAATCCTTGCGGGGTTAAAAACCACAGGTGTCAAAAGAAAATTTTTTAGTGTTACATATAACTCTCTGTGTCCTGACCTTCACACAAGATGCATCGAGTAGTTGCTGGTGTTAGGCATGTTTGGATAGAGGAGCTGGATGATCACCAGATCCCTAAGCCTAAAAAGTGGGCACAGTGTATAAGGTCCTAGAAAGATCTAAGTGATCTATTACCCCCTATAACCCCAAAATAGTGATTTCCTCATGCCCCTTTGCACGAACAGAATGCTCCCTCCTCTCCCACATTGTTTCCATGAATGGCTCTTTCTTTGAGGAATTCTGTAGGAAGCCATCAGCATACGGAATCTAACATGTATAGACATTGCTCCCTCCCACCAGTCCCTCCCCCAACCCATCTCTGGAAGAGTGAAGAACACAATGGCCCTACTGGGTTGATTTTATTTTCATTTTTTATTGAAAGCTTCATCAAAGAAAACAGAAGTTTAAACCTAACATCCACTGATCTACAGAAAGCCCAAGGAATGGGGGAAATGGTAGCTAGTTTGACTGTGGTACAGATGAAAATATTAAAAATAAAACCAGAAACACCATAGAATTACAGAACTTTCCATGACAGTCAGAACAGCAGTACAAAATGCTCTTAAATTAAGTTCAAAATTAGATGCTCCAGAAGTTCCATGAAGTCAAATATGGCCTGAAACCAGGGGTTTAAAAGAAGCTGTGTCCCAATTTTTTTAAGAAATTGTGTACTGAATATTTCATAGCAAGAACACTTTTACCCATATATTTTTAAAATTAATCTTCCAATTAGTTCTTCTTTTTAAAGAAATGAAAGCACTGATTTCCAGAATGGAAAAAACTTTTTCAAGTGTCTCTTTGAAATTGTACTTACAGTTCCTGAAAAGTGTGGAATGACTCCTTTTTTATATATGAGGAAATAACATATTTAGGGAGGCGGACAGAGCATCTTTCTTAATAATCTAAGACCAGAGGGTTTAAAATACAAAGTGTAACACTAAAGTTACACTTTGGACACTATTTAAATTTGAAATGATTATTTAAATAAATCCGCTGGATTGTCAAGGTCGTTCAGCCTTAATACAGTAATGAAAAGTAAAAAAACAAACAAAAACAAAACAAAACAATGAATTGTGTGGATTTTTTTTTTGGTGAAAGACTTAAGATAGGGACAAGAGTGTGTCTTTAACCAAGAGCTGCTATTATATTCTCATAACTGAATTCTGAGTTGACCTTTTCTACTGGTTCAAATTTCAAAAGTTAACGAAACCAAAACAGCTTTTTTTGCGGGGGAAGCCAAATTATTAGCTACAGTTTTTTTTCTTTATACTCTGCAAGAATACAGCCAACTCTCAGTTATTTGTGGTGGATGGGATGGGAACATCATGGGTAATAAAAAATCAACAGTATATAATGCTCTGACATTAATTTTTACAAATGATTTCAAACTCCTTCAATAAACCAATACTTAACAAAAAGCAAAATAGACTGATTTGAATTTTATTTCCCATTGTTTCTTTTTCCACCCTCAGGGTGACATGTTAATAAAAGGAAATAGAGCCCCAAGTTTTAAGAGTCGAAAAGAAAAGACAGAGGAAATGCACAAAGTAGATAATTAGCCCTTCAAAAATTGAGAGTGATTGTATTTCTGCAAGATTCCGTCACGGGCGGTTACCAACCGGTGTAAGATGGAAGGAAAGCGTGACTTGGTGGCCTAGTGGTTCCTGTGCAGACTCCAAGCCTGATCTCACCTCTGCTTCAGCTTTAACGCTTCCTGAGTGAAGGAAGCCTTTCTTGAAACACCCTTCTCCCTCCCAGAAATACAAAGAAATGAATATTGAGAAGGCATCCATCCCGTGCGTGTGTGACAGGGAGCACATGTATTGGGGTATAAGACCAAAGATCAAAGGTATCAACCATCTGGGGGGAGTTCCCTGCCCTACGTCGTAAAAGATTGTGGGGGCCACTCAGGGATCTTACATTTGGCTTTTGTACTTTCCTGAGCCACGTAATCTACAAAGGACAGCCTTGACCAAAAGCATTTGGATGAAAAGACTAATGATGTATTTTAAAATGTTTGGTGAAAAGTGTTACATCTGAGTTAGACTCAGCTGCCTTCCAATGCCACAGTGGATGTTATTTGTAAAACGAGTTGATTCATTAATGAAATCCCATTATCATCTGCCACAGGAAGGGGACAGTGCAGGGAATCAATGAGCCTGTTTCAATCACACCAGCGCCTCAGATTGCATGAGAGGCTGTCAGTCCCAGGGAGCTCCAAATTTTGAAGCATGCCAGCCACAATAACATGAAAACAAAATCTCCTCCTTTACTCCCCACTGTGGACAAGATAATACAGATCAAGGGCTCCATGACATGTTTTAACTTTATTTTGAAGTGATCCTCAAACGTGCCAAGTGTTGTTATACACAAATATTATCCTTTCACTTGATTTCCTATCATATGAAAACATTTATCACTGAAACCCACTTAAGAATTTCTGTTTATCAGCTCATCTGCAATGGTGTGTGTGCTCAAATGAAGCATGAGGCTCAATTGTCAAATGTATTTTTAGTCTCCTACTAACATTATAATCTGTCTAGACAGCACATTGAAACTTCTCAGTCGTGAAGACTGCAAAGGTCCTATTTAAATCAAATCTCACTTTGCGTGAATGGAGATTTTAGGCCACTGTAAAAGGTACATAGGTATCTAATGGCATCCCGATTATTCAAATAAATTTGTTTTGGGGGGGAAAAGTACTTTTTTTGTGAATTAAAAATAGTTTTAAAGCAGTTTTGCAAAGGGTCGGTGCATTCTGCAGGTACAGCGAATTTCCAGTCCCATCCAGCCACCTGCTCTCAGCCTCCCAGCTCTAAGGTGAGCGCTTTTAACACCGTGTGGTTTTCATTAGGAAAGGTGAAGGTGAGTCTTACATGCTGTCAAATGTGGCAGATCCGTTAAGGTCACAGGAAGAATTGATTCAGGTGAAGCATGGAGACAACACGTGAACAATTGAAATCTACCAAGGAAACAAACTAACCCTGACCGAACTGGAGTCAGCTAGAGGATTTTTTTTTTAGAATATTATGTCACCTGCAATACTCAAGACATGCCAATGTTCAAGGACAGTCACCAGCCCCTGCTAGTATCACATTTAGTTCACTTAGGGTCCATGACATTTTCAGGAGACCATGAGGAGCCCCCAGCCACTAGGCATACTTTGCCACCCCTGACAATAGCTTATCATTATTTAAAAACAATAAAAACAGAAAAAACTGCACTCCTCCACTGACCATGTGACTACAGTTTGGATGAGATAGTGTTTATCCCGTTTGGATTCTGGCTATAGTTTGTTTCCTAATGTTTAGATTACGTTTTGGCAACTACAGTTGAGAGGGAAAATTGAATATCTGAATAAATGCGTCAAAACCTGGTGAACCAGAATACTTCAAAAGCAAAAAAGATTACAGTCCTAAACAGGATTAAAATAACCAACATATCGATTGTTGATTAAATTAAAATTCCTGATGTCTGCATATATTGGACACATATTTTGGTTTGTTTTATTTGTAATACAATGTAATGCTGCTTACCTGTTGATGCTTTTCCCCCCAGACATGACTCTTAAAACAATGATTAGTTAAGATGACAGATGCAAATTTGAACATGTGCCATTTTTCCCTTCTTTTTTTCTTTTTGACTTGAAATAAGATATTTTATAGAATGGCATGATATAAAAAATCCAAACACAAAACACACATGAATACATAAAATGACAGGTAATTTCCTTTTGCCTGAAGTGGCTTAAAAAAATTGAGATCATTGAAATTTCATAGTTGAAAAAAATGTTTCTGAATGTATAAATAAAGCAGTTGTTTTGAATAGAAACAGGAAGTTACCTAGGCACACTCATCAGCCACATGGTAGCTACCTCTTAGCCTCATTGTTGATTGTGTAAATGAGACTTTCTTTGTATCACATTATTATTATTATTATTATTTTTTACAGAAACAAAAGAAAGCATGTTGGTTTCATATTCAAATGAATTATGCCCAGGATCATCCTTATTTATACAAAGAGTTCAGAGAGTGAAAAAAGAAACAGAAAATACAGTTCCCATACATGTTTGTTTATACCCCCTGAAACTTGGGGGCCCACTTCTCAAAGATAAAACTTAAGTGCCACCCTTAAAATACATGAGAGGCTGAAGGATGGAACAGAAGGAAGTAGAAACGTAGGATTCTTTTGAAAGCATGGAAAATCATAAGGATGGATGTGACCAGTTTGAATTTCTCTGTAGCACGTTCCATTTTCTTGGATATATTTTCGCCTCTAATTTGATCACAAAGATAGGGAGTCACTCTCTAGATTTGAGTTTTCAATACATGGTGTTGCAAATAAGAGAACCAGGTCTGTTTCCACACTAGGCTTTTCTGTTTGTAAGTCACAAAAAGTGGAATATTGACACTTTCATATGAGTCAAACTCATTGCTCATGTTGACCTAATGGGAATATAATTTATCTTTGAAATTTGTTTCAATGTTTTTAAAAGCCTACTTTGCTTTCTTTTATAGTGCACTTCACGTATTTACCTCTTCTTTCTGGACTAAGACAGGTTCCTATGACTCAGTTTGTGAAGAGAGTTTCACTTATTTGATTCTAATGGTTCATTCAGAAAGCAATTCTAGGGCATGGTTCAGTTAAAGTTTCATTGTCCTTAGTTTCAGGTAAAACTGTACAGGCAGAATATGGATTTCATGAACCAAATATGCAGAGATGTTTGTTACATCAATTTAATCCATTTTTGAGAAAGTTTTGCACCCTTCTCAATGCAAATATATCTCCTTTGGCTTTAATGATTGATCAAACCCAATTGTTTTGGTTCTTATTAATATAAATCATAGAATTTCTTGATTGTCAACTAGCATATTAAAAGCTTACCTAAATCCCACTAATAGAGTACTCAATCTTATTGGTCCTACTTGCCTCAGAGAGTTAAACTGAAATAAAAAGGCCTATTTTGTCTTTCTTCTGACAACACCAGGATATGAAAATACAATGAAAAAAGGCAAAAAGAAGATATCCCTTCCCAACTGCAGAATCAAGGTGACTATTCATGGTGGATGATGACAAAGACTAAGGTGCAAAAGACAAAATCAAGAGGTGTTGGAATTTAGAAGGAAGACTAGTGTTACAAATGCAATGAGACCTTTTCAGGAGACCACTCACCACTTAACAGAATATCACTAAGCTTCTTTTTGACAAGTGACCCTTCAGACCAGGTTCAGGAAGTGTCTTTCATTCAAAATTCACAAAAACATTTCAACCTGTTAAAAAAGTGTCTTAGCTGGTTGGTGGCCATCCATACAGGTTTCACTACTCAAGAGAGCTAGCAAGGAAGTGGAAAAGCTCATGGAATTGAAAGCCATTTGGCTCTATCAGTTGGTATCCAGAACTCTTCATGCTGAAACCGCTGAACACAGCAGGTGCAAGATTCTACTAACAACAAATATACAAAAAAAATTTTTCTTTTTGCAGTATGTAAAATACCAGTGGAAGGTAGTTTAAACAAACAACAAAGTAAGAACTGGTCCGGCCATGTAGGTCAAATAAAAATTTTAAGAGAAAAGTAAAGAAAAACAACCTCTATCTTCTGGACTGCAATAGGGTACCACTTCATCTTTGGTATAAAATAGGCCATCCATAGGCTGAATTTGATCACAACTAGGAAAGACTACAGAAATTGTCAACAATTTCTCTATCTATTGCTTTTTTTGTTTTTTGTTTTTTTTTGTTTGTTTTGTTTTGTTTTGCACTTTTGACCATAAGCTCCTATCTACTTAAGTTTTTTGTTTTTTGTTTTTTTTTAATGCTCTTAAGCTAGGTTTTGCAATGTGACAAGCAAAGCTGACTAAAAACTCTGTAAAGCTCATAAAAAAGACTGCAGATAAAAAGCACTAATGCTTTTGCTAGCAATCACGCTTTGTAAATTAAAAAAATCTGCATTCTGCCCCCCAAACACGCATTATTTCTAATGCAGTTGTTTTTTTTAAACCAACCTTAATAACTTTACCATAAAATGTTTTAGCCTTCTCGAATGGTTCAACACTTAAGACAAAGTTCATGAAAAGTCCCAGCATTTTTCCAATTCTTGCAGTTGCCATGGTTTCTTTTTATCAACAAATTTTCTTCAAATGAAGAAAAACATTTTCTTTTAAACTGTACAGTTTTTTTTTTTTCATCCTAAAAACTCACAGTCTTAAGCTTCTGCACCAGTTAAAGCCGGCACAATATTTCAATTCTTTCTGGATTTTTTTTAACAAGACGTTGACAGCTTGCCTCGAGAGCCTTTGACGTCCTTAAAATTAAGGCAATTAAGATTCAAGATAAACCTTACCTAAATATTTCTAAGAAAAAAAATTAAAAAACAACCCACATTTAAACAAGAAGGAAAAAAAGAGAGTAGCTTAATTACTGAGGAAGACAATTAGTTTCCATTTCTGCTTGCCCACCTCTTGACATCCGATTTTCTGTTAAAAAAAAAAAAAAAAATCTATCTACACCTTCAGGTCAATTCTGACTTCAAATGTTCTTCCAGATAAAATGTCAACCTTCCATGTTTCGTTTTTGTTTTTCCTCTTCTGGGATTTTATTTTTTTACTTTAATTTAAAAAATGATGGCAAAAAATAAACTGTCAGACCACATGAAGGACCCATTTGCACAGCACACAAAACGCTTTGTTTTCGTTGGGTAAAGTACAAAATTAAAAAAAAAAAAAAGCATTCCATTGACGCCTGTGCAAACTGGAAGCCAACTTCTTGTTCAATGAAGTCTCTTCATTCAAGGCAAAGTTTCGGACGGACATTCTTCAGTCTTGTTTATGGTCTGTGAAAACAATTGAACAAGAGTGGTTATTACACAAAGCAACTCTGAAATCTCCTTCTGTGCTCTTGTCCATTGAGGCCTCTTAAAAAGATACTAAGCTCTTTAAAAATAACAGTCATGTTATTTACAATGAAGTTGTAAAAGCATATTGGGCCGATTCAAGTGTCAAATTCTGCCACTTTCTCACAAATATATATGTGAGCCAGAAAGTATGTTCACATTAAATAGCAAGGCTTATGGGTCAAGAATATCTTTCAGTTCTAAAGTAATAAATATTACAAATATACCCAGATAAAAAACAATCCCTTTGCAAATGGAGCCTATTTTTGTTGCCTGGCTTATGTTGTAGTTTCCCCAGAAATTCTTTGCACATGTCTATCCCTTCAAAACTCCCATGGGATTCATCATTCACTCAGTCAGCAAATGTGTGAGTCCCTACTATATACCCAAGATACAGCAATGGACTGTATGTTATCTATGGTGTTCACCAAGGATGTTCACGTTAGTCTTATTGTCCCAGGGAATTAAGTAATGTGGTTAAGAGGGCAAGGAGTTTTGTTCACTTTCCCTCTTCTTCCTTGCTTATATATCTCATCAAGATTTTGAATTCTTGAGAGCAGGGACTATATTTTATTTTCACTTTATCCCTTCCAGAAGTCTGGCAGAGTGGCATGCACATAGTAGGTGTTTCACTAGGCTAAAGTAACTTTTACTATATGCCACTTTGCCTGGCCCGGTCCAAATAATGGCCTCTGCTGCTGCCCCATCTCTATTGCAGGGTTGAGCTTCTAGAGGGTTGAACTTTATTCTTAGCTTTTCCACCTACAGATTAGAATTTTGCTAAATAACATCGGGGGTGTGCTATAAAAAGAAGAATCTAAACTATCTGGAGGTCATATGTATGTAGGCGAAGGCCTTAGTGCTCTTAGTGCTCTGCAGGTTTTTCTGACGCTCATTTGCTTAATTTAGTAGAAGAAACTTAGGGCTGCTGCGTATGGTTGTACAGGTTGTTCACTGTACAAGATGCACGGCTGAGGGAGCACAGTGGGGCTAAGCTCCAGCCACTAGTCTGTTCCCCAAACTATGTACTCTGGTGCAGGGCTGCATTCAAACCGAGCAAACGGGCCTTATTCACTTTGACAGCAAGCCCTTGACAATTATTTAAACTACATGGCAGTTAGCCTGGGATGGCCCAGAGGGATTGCTTTTCCTAATTTGCAAAAAGTCCTCATAGGAGTCAGCTATGACTCCTAGAATCCAGATTAACTTATACCTAGAATTATGTAAGGGCAATGACTAGTTGGTAAACTGAATATATCCATTTTTAACCAATAGTTTAAGTCTCTAGAAGTACCTTTTCTTCTGAGTTATGCAAGAAAGTGAGAAATGCAATTAAAACTTTCATAATAGGAGCAACAATAAGGGAAATTTTATTAGTAGTTGTCATGGAAACTAAGGTATATATTTGATCTTTCTCTGTACCTTTGCTAAGTGTAGACTTGCTCCATTTATCTCTAAAAACCTATCTTGAATGGTTTTGTGTTTTTGTTTATTTTTCGGATCTATTTTTTGCTCCTACTCCCATCTTCAACCCTGGTGTTATTGTACACGGAGCAGAAAACACCTTAAATACCATGTGTCTCTGTAAGAGCTGCTCACTGAACAGTGTCTTGCTCAATGGCCCACACTGACCACAGCACCCTCCCTGCTCAGGTGCGTCATGTGCACTGGCCCTGCAGCTTCCATATTCATGAGCTAGGCTGGAGCTGCTGTCAAGTTTTATAACCTTACGCAAATGCTTCTAATAGCCCTCTCCCGTCACTTGCTCGACCCTTCGAGTAGTCTCAGTGTTACATGAAAACAAATGAGGAGAAATAAGTCACTGTACTTTACATGTTCATGGTTGCTAGCTGAAGTCTGAGGGGGGAAAATGTTGCTATTTTTCAGAACTGAATTCACTCCTGTCTACCTTCTCTGTCCCAGGTAAAGTGCACATTTCAATAATAATTGTGAATTGCACTATACCCATAAAAACAAGTTTCTAAGTTTTCAAGGCTGTGATCATTACAAACAAGAATGCTGTAAGTTAGACGGTGAGGTTATTTTAGAAATAAAATTGGCTGCAACTTAAAAAGAGGTATTCGTGTGGATGAGTATAAAAATTATTTGCAAACTGTAAAGTTCTGTGCAAACAGAATATTGTTACTTACAAGCTCAAAGGACATGTAAGCATGGCAATCAAGGATATAATTCACACATCATTAACATACTTACCGTGTACAGGGAACTGGCGTTCAAGAGGAGGCTAGAAGAGTAAAAGACTTTGCAGTTTGGGGTTGAGACAAGGGCCTTCTAAGGTCAGTGTGGATGTTGGAAGATGAGGGCTTTGAATTTAAGATCAGAGCCATCTTGAACCCTCTCACCCCGCAACTCCCCCATCCCCACCCCCATTCACACACACACACACACACACACAAAGAAAAGCAGATTGAATAGATTAGGAAGCAGCAAACTATAACCTTAGAATTCTAGGCTTTTCGAGCTGGAACAAGTCTTAGAGATTACCTAATAATTAATATTCTCTGGTGTTGTTCCTCACAGATGGGCTTCAGGTGATGACGTATGAAAAGAGGGATTCTGTGGTCCAGAGTTTTGGGAAAATTGCACACTGGACTCCCACTCCTGGATCACCCAGAGGCAAGCCAGGCATGTGATTAGGGCATCAAGAAGAGTATCCAGTACAAAAAAGCCTGGTTTTGAAAGAAGGCCATCTTTTAAATTAGTATCAAAATCATCATGGTGTGGACAATAAAACATTTTGATAGAGTTCTGTAATAGTTTAATATGTTAAAACAAAACTCTTGGAGGGCAGGACGCACTAATCTTTCAGGAGGTAAAACATCTGAAATCTTTGTCTGGCCCTCTAGGAGGTCGCATCCATTAGCATGTTAATAGGTCTGAAGAGAACTGCAATTAAGAAAACCTTTCACTGAGGTTACAGCAGGTTTCCCAACTCCAGGGAAGGTTGGCTAATCCTCCCCAGTACCAGAAATCTAGTTTATACTCCTCAGAGGACAATCTAATCTCTCACTCTAAAGAAGAGGGATAGGAGGCTCCAAAGGGTTGAATGACAATTAGTCAGTGGCCAAGATGGAATTTGAATCAAGGGCTTTCGATTTTGCATATTAGAATCTAATGCTGCTTGAAAACAGTGTTTCAAGTCCTTCTTGTTTTTAAGATTTCCTACAAGCACAAAGGAAAACTGATAACTTGGGCAGGGACTGAAATTTCCATGGAATTTCCAAAATAAACCACAGGTACCAATTTTGCCTTTCCCGATAAGATTCCAGAGTCCCTTTTGTAGTAATAGTGTCTTTTAACAATGGAAGAAAAAGAAAAAACATGAATACAAATGTGAAGATGTATTTTTTAGCTTGGGAAGTAAAATCTGGAATATTAAAATATTTGCTGACATAGATCCCCAAAACATTTATCCTGTGGCCTTCTGCAGTGATGTTTCTAATTTACTTTAAAATAACTTTAGTATTAGACATTATGATGTTAAATGTATGTGTGATGGGTTAAACAGCTTTTCAGGGGCACTCAGCTACCAGAATCAGAATTTCACACCCCACAGGAGGTCAGCTATCACTTAATGAGAAAGGACAGAGGTTGGTACAAGCACTTTAAACTATCCATATCTCAATTAACATAATGATTGTTAGAAATGAGCTGCATAATGAAAGTAAGGGGATGACAATTAGTATAATGAAGATGGAAATAAGCTGCTATTTGTGAATCTGGAGTACTCCAGAGAACATGGATTGTCGAAAATATTTTAGAAATACCACTCTTCCATGAACTGAAAAGATAACAGTTTTGCAGAGAAATTTGGAGCCTATAACTTTAAGGATTTTGCTTGTGCCTTGACCTCAAAACAAGACTGTTCGAGTAGATTTCTGGTGGCCTTTATAAGGATAACATAGTCCTCCCTGGAGAAAATGGTAGAATCTAACCTGAGTGAATTTTTCCACGTTGAGTGTTTTTAGATTATTTGAAAGAATAGCGCTGGGGCTGTAAAAGAAACGTCCGCGAGGCAACGCGAGTGGTTTCGGCACGTCACACATTTGAAACGCTCCGTGTTCCAGGGTGCTTTCATCTCTGTCACGTTGCAGCAACGAGCACACCCTGCGGACCATCCTGTAACACACGGTCCTGCATGAGTGCAAGGAAACGTCAAGCGAGGGCACCCCTCACCATAACTCTCACCCCACGAGGACACGGGCTGGGGGGCCTCTCGTCTCGATGTTTATTATCTGCGCAGAGCTCTGCACTAGCACCGTAAGAATCCATGCTCAAGGCGCATGACCATGGTGCCACCAGTTTTAAACTTGAACACTTCAAGTTTTCTGAGGTCAGATCCAGGCTTCCTCAAATATTTCGAGGAATAATGCTTCTTTGCATGGACTCATCATAAGGATGATTCAATTCCTCATCTTTCTCCACAAATCAGGGCCCCTGATTTTATGTCATCTGCCCCTGTTCGTGGCATCAGTAACCCCACGGTATTGCTTGAACTATTAAAAGTCCTGGCCCCTCGTTTTCTTACTTCATTCTATCTCCCAACCCCCACCATTACACTTGCCACCGTCCTACTTCAGAACTCTGTTCCCTTTGGTCTGAACGACGGCAATGATAGGACTGTCTGCTGCACTGCTTCCAAATCCAGCTACTTCAACTGGAAGAACATGCAAAGGACTAAGGAAATGCTGTTCAGCACCTGGGTATGGTGCCTGATATGAGAATCTGGGTTCAGTCTGCCTCTTTACACTATTCTACTACTCTGTATCTACTTCTCAAAGAAATGTTCTGAGTTTCCCCACCCTGGACACTGATCAGGACATTATTCCACCTGGAACATTGCTCCTTCCTGTAAGAACACAGTTCCAGTTGCCACAACCTCCACCGAAGCTTACACAACCAAGAAAAATTAAATGCATTCTTCTATGACTTATTATAGTACCTTAAAGAAGAGTCCTGTTCATTTTCTTCCTTGCAGTCTCCTTGTCTACGTGTAGATCTAAATCCTGTTCTAGACTGAAAATCCTCGAGGGCATGGATCCTGTCCCTTAGCATAGTACCTGGCATAAGGTACTGTAAGTGAAACAGGGCCTAGGTGTGAAGGCGGATGGCAAGGCCCTCACCAGAATCCATGAGAGGCAGAGATGCTCTCTCTGGGCAGGCAGAGCACTCGCCTCTCCATCACATCGTACAATGACCATGAAAGGTGGGGACCCTGAGAAAGAGCATCTTATCATGGGCTGACAAGTAGGGGCGGCTAGAGCTAAGTTATTCAGGCAGGGAGAGGAGGAGGGTCTGGACAATTGCAAGAGGGGGAAATCTGCATCCTGAAAGCCATCCTGAAATATATCCCTCTATACCCAGTGTCCATTGGTAACAGAGTCATTGAAACGTAAATAAAATTCTGTCATTTCTTCTCTTAAACACCTCCAAAGGTTTTCTAGCTCACTTAACATAAAACCAGGGATAATTACTCAACACAAAGTCAAGTATCTAAAGAACCGAAGGCTCTAAAAAAGTTAACCTGTTCAACATCACCTTCTACAACTCTCGCCCGTGGCCCTGTCCACCACACTTCAGCCTCGGGTCCCCACTCCAGATCTTTGAATTTCTGTCTGCTCTGTCTAGAATGTTTTTTCTCCAAAGCTCCCCGAGATTAGCCTCTAGGTGTCTTTCAGACCAGGTCTATACGAGAGACTTTCCCTGATACAAATCTTAGGTATCTACGCGGTCACTTTCTATCACAAGAATCTTTTTAAGCAGTCTGCTCTGAAATTCTGTTTCTTTTTGATTACAGTGGTGCCTCGGTTTTCGAACGTCTCCATTGACGAACATTTCGGGTTACAAATGCTGTAAACCCGAAAGTAAATGCTTTGGTTTTCGCACATGCCTCGGAAGTCGAACATGCCCCATGGCTTCTGCTGAGGGCAAGATCCTGAGGCCTAGCCGTCGGCTGTGGATCCCTCGGTTTTCAAACATTTCAGAACTCGAACGGGTTTCTGGGATGGATTACATTTGAAAACAGAGGTACTATTGTATTTGCTGTTTGACCCATTGATTCTGAGTCTGCTCCTAGTAGAAAATAAACTCCAAGAGTGGGGGAGGTGTCTGCCTCTTCCATCAGTCTTTCATTAGCATATAGAATACTCCCTGTCACATAGTAGGCACTCAATCAATAATTGTTAGTTGGATAAATGAAAGCATAGTTATTTATCCAGACATCATTAAGCTGTTAGCAAGAAGGGTCTAGGATCACTGGTTTCCTCATTGCACTTTAAAACAGACAAGGCAGTTTCGCCTACTCACAAAGCCTTGAAAAATTATTGTGGCAAATACAGTATCTCTCGTCTCCCACCAGTGTCTCTCACTGTGCTTTCACATCACCAATCTCTACTCCTTTCCCCATATAATCTGCTGAGCAGACTAAAAAAAATTCCAATATGCTTGGAACTGAGTGCCAGAGTCTACCATATTGTTGGTGCATGTAATTCACAGGCTATATGTGAATTAAAAGAAAAAACGTTTTATTTACTCGATCTTTTCTGAAAGTTATTATGTGATAGTAATGATGATGATGATGATGATGATAATACCTTATATTTGTAAGGTGAAGAGTCATGTTCTGATTACATTTAACTCACAGGACTGACTTCAGAAGCTAAACCACATATAGAAGACTTCATTACTGTGATTAACCTATCAACAACAAACAAGTCTCTTAATGTGAATTGAGGTTAAAGAGAAATGATGATGAAGAAATGGGACAACACTATGCAGACAGAAAGGATCACTGGGAATTCTCTATTTACCAGGGCTTTCATTGTTACCTGCAAAGTAGAATAGTTTGCATGACAAGATATCTGTATATGGAGTGAACTTTTGTTCATTTCTTTGGTTTCAGTCAAAACCTCTCAAATTTTAATCTACATAGTTACTCATCACAAAGCCAACTGTACTTTTCTTAAGTGATTTAAGAATTTGCAAGAGTAATTCTGACTTCGTGATTTTTGCTTCACCACTTATTCCCGAATAACACCCTACTCCCTGTTTTATATTTTACAGTACCAGTTTTTGTGAATGATTTCAAGGGATGTTCAAAGCAACTCTACAAGGAGAGTGTTACTGTTTTTATTTAAGAGCGAGGAAACGGAGACCGAGATGCAGTCTCACTATTTAGTTTCATGTGGGGATATTAGAGTTGTTCCAAAATATGGATTCATATGGTAGATTTTTTTATTTTTGGTAAAAATGAATGCAATGCTCCTTTCCGCGCCCAAGCCTTTTGGTAATGAACTCTGGGTTTGGCCATGTGTCGTGCTTTGACCAAAGGGGCGGCAGCAAACGAGTCACAAACAGAACTGAGAAATGCTGGTCACCTGGGCTTCCTCTCTCATTCTTCAGGGTCTGAGACTTCTGTGTGAAAAGCCTTCCAGAGGATCAAAACCGTGTGGCTCCATCGCTTCCATCGCTCCACCAGCAACCAACGCGCACCCAGCAGCAGAGCTGCAAAAGTGACGGGCGGCTGTCCCCAGACGCTTGAGCAAGTCCAGTCAACTGTCCACCTGAGCTCAGCTCCAACTGCCAGCCCACATAATCATGAACTAAGTAAGTGCTGGGCGCTAAGTTTGGGATGGTCTGTATTGCAGCTGGAGCTAACAGGTGCAACATGAGAGTGAAGTCAAGATGGTTGATCTCGAGGGAAAGAGCTTAGTAGAGCCAGAACTTACTTAGACTGTTGGTAAGAATATGCAGATGCATGTTCATTGGATGTGTCCACTGCTATCTGTTGCTGCTGACCACTGGTGTCCTGGGATGAAGGTGCCACTGTCTGGGGAGAGGTATCAGCAACAACACCCTAAGGGGGCAAATAAGAACACCAAGCTTTATTAGCTTCAGCAAAAAGCCCTCTTCCGGACTGCAGGGAATACCACTCTCCTATTTGGCTTGAGTATAATTGCACTCAGTTATGTGAAGCCACAATAAGTCCTCACAGGAAAACCACAGAGCATATTTGGATAAGGGCTGAGAAATTCACCTCAATGTACAACCAAGGAGCCTTCCCATCAGAAGTCCTTGGAGCAGTCAAATGGTCAGAAATCATTTTGCCCATACTTGGAATTTTTATTTTTATTTATTTATCTATTTATTTATTTCAAAAAAGATATCTTTATTGATTTCAGAAAGAGGAAGGGAGAGAGAAACATCAATGATGAGAGTCATTGACCAGCTGCATGCCTCCTACTGGGGATCGAGCCTGCAACCCGGGCACGTGCCCTGACCGGGAATCAAACTGGGGATCTCCTGGATCCTAGGTCCATGCTCAACCGCTGAGCCATGTAGGTTGTATTCAGCCACACTAAATGGTAAATTATTAATAAAAAAATTCATGCAGGATTTCTACAGAAACTGTATATTCAAGCATTTTCTTGGGATAGTGCACTGTACCATGTCTATATGATCAGGCAAAGCAATGAACGCTGACCTTAATAAAAATCAATGTCAGTGTTTGGAATTCTTTTAAAAGAATACTGTTAAGAAAGTCTCCCTTCAGCAGTTTGATTTGTTTTATTTTGTTTTCCACAATATAACCTGGAATTCATTAGAGGTTTCAGAAAAGGAGTCCAAAAACTCCTTAATTCTGATTTGCTCCTTCCCTTACCCTTCATTCTCTTGATCTCACAGATGTCAGCAAGAATGAATTTCTCAGGTTGGTCATCTTTTGGGATACATACTGGTTTCCAGAGAGGCACAGGTGGTTTCCTTTAGTAATTACTAGGCCTAAAAAAGGCGTCTGTCTGAATATATTCTCCTGGTTTTACTTACAGCCTTGGACACCTGTAGTGATGTTGGGTTTCAAATGTTCTTGGTCAACTCTTTGCCAAAGAAGATCCCTGAGATGCTTAGAATCTGAAAATTCTCTTATATTAATTCAATCCCTTTTCTCACAAATACTATTGTGCATTTTTTTCTGAACTTTCCACCACTATTGTATGGAGACAGGTGAATTTTTCAGTGAGTACTTTTACATAGAAAAGAAATCAGTGCTTATCCTTATAAACATAAATTAAAGGCAATATATCAGAGTGTGCTTCTATTTTTCTTAAGGAAAGACTTCTTTTTAAATTCTAGGTTTCACAATAATTAGACAGTTTTTAATAAGCCACACTGTTGAATGTGTCTCATTATTTCATGGTCATCAAAATGTTCCTATTCTGTTGAACATTTGGTGTTGAAATGCAATTATGTGGCAGAGATTTATGTTTAAATGTCCAGGTTCATAATTTCCTCATGTTCTAGATGCTTTCTGGTAGCTAAGCATAGCAAAGAAAATGTGTTTTAATTGCACAGTCTTAAAATTCTGAAAATCCTGTTAAAATCTGTTTAATAATAACTGACATATTCTTTGGGGTCTACAGGTTTGGGACACATAAACGATTTAAAAGTTGGGCCTCTGTGGGCTCCTAAATTACATGATAGTGTCCTCTTAAAAGCCTGGGTTTCCCAAACCTTGGTAGCAGCAAAGGACGAATGGGTTAAAGAAGATGTAATGTACATGTGTATACAGTGGAATACTACTCAGCCATAAACAGTGAAATATTGCCATTTGTGATAATGTGAATGGATCACGAGGTACCATACTAAGTGAAATAAGTTAGATGGAAAGGACAAAAACCATCTGATTTCACTCATATGTGGAATATAAAACAAAAAATTAATAAACAAACAAAACAAAAACAAACTCATAGATACAGACAGCAGATTGATGGTTATCTGAAGGAAGGGGGTGGAGGAAGGGCGAATGGGTCAAACATTTGGTGATAGATGGAAACAAGACTTTACATGGTGAGCTCCATGTAGTATACACAGATGTTGAATTATAATGTTGCACACCTGAAACTTACAGAATGTTATAAACCAGTGTTACCTCAATTTTAAAAAATGCAAATTCTGATTCTGTAGGTCTGGGTGGTGTCTGAGAGTTTGCAGTTTTAAACAAGCTCCCCAATGATGCCCGCGGTGCTGGTCCAGGGACCACTCTGAGTAAGAAGGCTTTAGAGAACCAGCTCATACAAATAGCTGCAAACTCTTTTCCCTCCCTATTTATGTGTATTTGTGGTTAATATTTGATGGGGTAGAGATACGGCCTCTGATCTTTTCTCTAGATACGAAAAAGACACTTCCCTCATACCTTATAGCAAATTAACTTATTTTATGTGCAAAGGAAAGCCCAGGCAGAGCCAAGTAAAGGCACACATTTTCATATCCTGAGCTTGCAATTTCAAATGCCAGAGCAGCACAATCACACACACATAAGGGATCCTTGGGTTACGGGGACCACACTCTATGTGGCTGAGATGTATCTCTCCGACCCTCTTTCTACAAGACAGAACCAGACTTACTTCAATAGAAACAGCTGTCGGAGGCACAGGCGTGTACTGGGGAATGTAGGTCCCTTGCATAGGAGCGGCAGCAGTCATATACTAGAGGGAATCAAAGAAAAAGGCAGGTGAACTTGGGATTGCAACCAACGAGAAAAGCAGACATCACATGAGATGCGTGGCCCATGGCCGCTGCATGATTCAAGTTAAACTCTAGCTTGACCCAAAATAGGGCAGTTCCTACCAGCATAGAATTACTTCTTACTGATTCAGGACTAACGGCAGCCCACCGCCACAGTATCAGTACAAGCTAACTCACCCCCACTCGCTCGCTTTGTCTTTGGAAACAGCCTCTATCAGATCTCGAATATTTCACTTTCGTATCTAAAGCGTAAACTCCATGAGGACAGGGATGATGCCCTTTTTCAGTCTCTGTTTCATTGCTGGCATCTATCACAGAGTAGGCTCTCAACAAATTATTTGTTGAATGAATGAATCATATTGTTAGTATTAATTTCTTGTCTAAATAAAAATAATAGAGGGATGATCCAAGAAAGACTTAGGCAGCAACATTCAGAATTGGGCACATGCCATCATTTTGCTATTGTCACATCACCATTTTCTATACGTAAAAAAACACAGTGTTGCAGATAATACTGAAGCTTCCTTTGTCCCCTCCCCACCCCATTCTCATGTCATCATCAGGATTTCCTTTTCAGCTCTTTGAACTCTCCAAATTTTCTTCATCCAAATAAACAATGGAATGTTCAAACCATTTTTCACTAAGTGGAGCATTCGGTAACATATGTATTGGGGATAACGGGTATTTTTGCAACGAAGACAAGGAGCCCCAAAGAAACATTACATCGTCACCCAGCAGAAAGTATGACCCATATTCCTATTTCCAATACACATCCCTCCAGCAAATTCCAAGTTCTACTCTTTGAGAATAGAATTTTCTATAGAATCAACTATATTTCTGAGTTTCTAAACTTGATGAACACTATAAAACTTTAGAACCAGAATCATCAATTCACATAGATTAGAGAAATCATGTCTATGACAAAAAATCACAAGCCTGTGAATATTTATTCTTCTAAATTTGCTGAGTTGAAAAATTAGGGCCATGCATAAATATGCAAAACCCAAATTACTACGTTTTACGTAGCTTTCAGTATCCAAGAGGCATGATGATTCTGAGTCAAGGGGATGTCTGAATGGAGACTAGCTCATCAGTTGTTTAATATTTATGGAGAATTATGGCAGTAAAGCAATTCTGGAATGAATGCATCTTCACTGTAAACTAAGCACTGTCCTACTGTATCTATTTGCTTAGACACAGCCTTAATGAAAAAACTCCGAATCCGACAAACTGAACTGTTGTCTGTTAGAATAGAGTTAGACCAACCGAGTGCAATTCATATCTGTATTGAACAGCCTTGTAACTTGGACCAAGAGCGATCCTTTGAAAGCTCTGGTGGCATTGCTAATTGAGCTTTATAGTTGAAAACTGTCAGAGGTTTCTGTGCCCTGTCCTCTGTGATCTCGCAGCATTCATCACTCTTCTATTAAAACTGTCCAGACTATTATCTCCTTGAAGGCATGGACCAAGTTTTACTTGTCTCTGGATCTTCAAACAACCAAATGCCTGCTTCTCCGTAAGTTATTGTCCAGCGGCAGAATAAACTGATACGAGTAGAAAGCCTTCCACTTCCACTTCCAATGACAAATTATCAATGTTAGCCATTGATAATTCTGAGCTCATTACATATATTAATTTTCCCAGCCCCAGAGTGTGTTTATATAATGTTTAAATAAATTCCTAATCCAACTCATTGTCCTCGTGTCCTTAAGCAGGTAATAGGTATTCAGGAATCTGATTGCTACCCATTTTTAAAATAAGTATAGAACTCTGGAGTCACATTTCAGCAAATATTATTTCACATCTAGAGCCCTGTGGCAGGTGTTTGCATTACCAACAAAACTGCTTTGGAGAGGACGTCGGGGAATAATTATAGTCCCCTGACTGTTTCAGACAGGTGCTTTGACTGTGTTATATAGGTTTTAAATATCCTTTGATTTAGTTTTCCCTACAATGTATTTTTTATAGAATGCTAGGCTCAAGTGAGAAAAAGCCTTCTGTGTTCCCATGCACTTGAGCAATGCCGCATGCTATATTCTTTTCTTTGATATTGACATGTAATAAAAACTCTTGAGGAGTCATTATTTTACAGCAGCCTAGTTAAAGTTCATTAAACCAGCATTTCTAAACTTTTTTTTTTGTAGCACCTAATCATTTTGCTTAGAACTAGTGCTCTGAAAAAAAATGTGCTTTGGAAAATGTTTCTTTGATTCTCAAAAATCCTAGTAGATTTGTAGCAAGTGGTAATACATTTTTTACCAACTACGAATTTATCTCAGCACAGAGTTGATAACTGTTGTGGCTCATTTCTACCCTTTTGGTCATGATTTTCCAAGAGTTATAATATGCTAGGAAAGGATAATCCATTTCGGCTTTGGTTGTTTTCTATTCCAGTTAGTAATTCCAGACTTTGCAACTGGGCCTAATAAGTGAGTATCCGTGTCCTTTGCATAAGATGATGACCACACTGGCACCCAAATGCTGGCCAGGACTTTGATCCATCTCTGCTCCACAGTTGGCACCTCGAAGGAGGCGGTCCTGTGAACTAGATTTAGCGACATGGCCTGAGCCCATAGAAAGCAATCTTCACTAGCTCACAGGAGAATCGCCCCATTTTTTTGGCCTCTCAGGCTTAATGGGAGTTCCTAGGCGGTGTAGTTAATGGAAAGCATTTGCTGCAGTTTTTAGCTAAGCTTCTTCAAATGGGTTATTCCGAACCTTATCTGTGTTTTGTTGGGTAAAACTGAATCAGCAGATCTTCACGCCTCCCGTGACATTCAGTGGAGTGTGAACATGACCTAGACTGAACTGACTACAGTGTAAATTCACACTCATCTTCTGTTTAGAACAGTGCTGTGTGCTAGCAGGGTGGTTCACCCGCTTTACAGACTGAGAAACTGAGACCTACATATAATGGGAAAAGCTCCAGTTCTTCTCCCTGTGATTCTGCACACTTTTCAGCCCACTTCATTATCTTCGAAATTAAGTAAATAAGGTTTTAAGACGTTCCTTTTGCTCATTCCCATGTAATATAGATACTGTTTTTTTAAATTAATGGGCTTGAGTTCTGATTTAAAAATAGAGGATAATATGCCTACCATTAACATTTTGTCTTTCAATTTCCATACTTTAAAAAAAAAATTACTTTATACTCAGAACACCTCATTTTCTTCTAGGAGCGTTACACTAGGTACTTATTTATTTTATTATTTAACTTGTTTTATGCTGCTATTTTGAAGAGAACCAGTAGAGATTTTATAGTATAAATAAGGTCAGCTCAGTTCAATGTGTGTTCTGTGTGTGTATGTATTTTAATGGAAAAAAAAACACCCTACTTTCAGGTTGCTTTTTTTCTTTCTTTTGTCATGGAAAAACTAATAGTGCTTGATAAAGGAGTTTGAAAATTAGGAATAAACACTTCAGACAAGTCGATGCTATGGAGTTTTATACCCTGTTAGACTATTATCTCTGGATAAACTTTCGCAATAGACCTCTTCCGCAGTAGACAAGTACATTCTAGGGTAAAGCCTCAAGAAGTGACAGCCTTATAAAATTAGGAGCAAGTGCTTACAGGAAATGGTTACAGTTACATGTAAGATCAACTCCCAGCTTTATGTAATTGGTGACAAAACCCCTGCATTTTCTTTGCAAGCACACAGTTTGATTTCCTTAAGAGATAAACTACAGTCAGACTTAATAATCCAAGCTGCACAAAAAATTGCTTAGATCTGGGTGCTTCAGAGGTTGCTCTCATTTTATTCAGCTAGCAAATGACATAGGACCAAGAGAAGGACCTGCGATATAAAAAAAGCTGCCCCTTTGACTTGGTTCATTCCCTTGGATTACTTATTAAAACCACAACAAGAATGGATGTCCATCCTTGAAGCTAACTTCTCTTATGAGTATTTCTCAAAAACTAGAAAAAAATCTACCATAATTCCTTCATGAGTGGAAATTATTTTGCATTTTTTTGATACGACTGATGGGAACATTACAATGAGATGATACAGATAAAATGAGCAAGTTTATACGATATTTCCTTGTAGGAGGCAGCACAAAGTTGGACGTGACTTGATATATTTTATTTTTTGGTAAACAGTGTGATGATTTTTACATATTCTGGAAACACCAGATTTCCACATGCATGTAGGAGACCTGGATAGCCATTTTCAAACTCACAGGATAAATTCCAGATTCCATCACTTGCTCCAAGAAGTCTAGACACTGCATCACCAAGATATTTACACAAAGAGAGGGAAAAAATGGTGAAACTGGAGAGGAATGGTGTTTTTGCCTGTTTAAGTTAGGACAAACTGTTTCTGTTACCGGGGAATCATTGATTATTCCCAAGGAAACAACAAAAGAAAACTTAAATTTTTAGCTTTGGATTTACTTTCTTTTCTACCCCCAAAACAAAACAAAGAAAAAAGTCTTTGATATATTTCTAGTGAGAAAAGAGAATATTTTGATTATTTATAAAGCAAAGGAGTGGCAAGAAAGTCCTCACATTTCAATTTTTAGAATTTACTAAAATAATTTAACAAACTTGCTCATTTGGAATTATCATTATTCTATTTAGACTGTAAATTGGTGCTTCCAGTTCTTGCTATAAAATTCATAAATCTGCTTAACAAATTTTAGCAAGGAGAGCTCTCCAGGCTCTATCAAACTCAGAAAGTCAATGGGAAATACAAGAAAGTTATAAAATGCACCTCGGAAAAGAAGTTGAGCAGAGAAAGTAGCAATTGTGGCAGACGATGCTGACAGCGTGCAGTGTGAATTACTTTTAAGATCATCTAGCACAAAGTTGCTCCTAATAAAGGAAGTTTGAGGATATAGGGAACAATCTGAGTTATGATTCATCAGGGTTGGGTGGGGAGGCTGAGGGATAGGCACTGTGTTTGCTCAGGTAGATGTATCCTGCAGTTTTGACGTCATATTTTTTGAATTTGTAAAATTG